ACCCATCCAAGTACTGACCATGCCCAGCGTTGCTTGACTTCAGTGATCGGACGAGAACTGGTATTCTACAACGCGGTATGACCGTTGGCGAGAATTTCATGCTTATGTCTGATAGATATATTATGTGATTATTTATAGTAAAAATGTTTAAAAACTACTATCAATAATAAAAAATTATTTGAAGTAAAAATAATTGTAATAAAATAAGAGAGAAATAAATTAATTAACTCGCAGTGTTGCTATTCGTTATTGTATCATCAAATTTTCAATGAGTTTTAAATTTCAGATGAATTTACGTAATTACGCAGACACACATGTAGAATTGTTAAATTGGGTTTTAGATCACAATTGTAAAAAATTGTAAATATTGTCAGAATTTCGAAGTGCTTGTACTTTTCCAGCACGCTAAAAAGGATCAGACCTCAGACGTACGACAACAACCGGCGTGTATTGAAACCGGTTGCGGAAGACTAAAAAATTGTAACAAATGGCCCTCTCAGCCTGACTGGTTCGACCTATCGCGATTAAAGGGGTGCGAATTTTTTTGAGTGCGCCTATCAGTTTCGAGGATAAACTCGACTTGGTATATAAAATGCGCTGCGGCACTTTATGACAATCTACGGTGCATTCGATCTGGCTACTAGTACGCATCGTCTTCATTGGCTTCTTCAAAAAGTGTTGTCAAGACGCTACTTAAGATATCACAAAGCGAACAATGACTTCACGTGACAGACAATAGAAGCGACGTGCGATCATTCGCGAGTAATACGCAGCACATCTTTATCGACGATGAGAGATATTGTATTCGAGAAACTCGAGAGACTAGAACGATCAATCAGAACTTCAAGAAATAAATGTAGAGTAATTTTTATGCAGAAAAACTGAGTTATATAAAATATCGATTTTAACGCATCTCGTAAGAGACCGTAACATTGATCGTTCTAATTTCAAATTACTAACATAACATTGATTATTCTATTTTTAAATAGCGAGAGTACATTTCTCGTTTTAGTTCCAAGTGAGATTTTGATTTCGCAGAAATATCGAAATTGTACAAAAATTTCTCGTGTTTCATATATTGTCCGAGCCTCTCACACAACTCGTCTTGATAAGACAGGAATTATTTAACAGGATTTTGTTATCAGAAAAAAAAAACAGAAATATTTGCAACAATTCTCTTCGCACTGGCATAAATTATAGCGCCATCTCTTTTCGTGCCTTTTTAAAAAGCCACTGTTTTTAGAGACGCACATATGCGACAGTAATTTTATCTTAAGTGTCTCGTAGCGTATCGTTATTTTTCCATCAAGCGGAAAATGCTCCCTATATCGGGGTTAAGACATGAGACGAGGCAGATTTACCGCAACGTTATTTTGTATCAGTAAGTATCTTTCATATCGCGCGAGCGGATTATTCGCAATGCGCGCGAGAAGGAGTTTGACAGCGGAAAACCTTCTTACACACTACTCTTCCATCTGCGTCCGGCGAACTTGTCGAGAGGTATTCGAGAAGGAACTTTGTCGCGTATCGATTGAAGTTTCCTTGAAACGAACAGGCGCCACGTCTACACGCTTCTTTGAATGCAAAGAATGTGAACACGCTATATATACATACAATATTCTCGTAAAAGAAACCTTATAAAACGTTTATAAAAATTTCACGTTTCTGATTGACATCACCTTGACACTTCTTTATGGCAAAATATAGCTTCTTACGTTTATTGATCCGTCAGTTCTTTCGTCGAGTGATTTGTATATCGACAGAGTCACAAACGAATTAAATTAATGATTATTTATAAAACTATTTTTTTTTAAAAGAAGTTAGCACTAATTTCTTACAATTAAAAAACCACGTCTTATAGTAACTGTATTGTCGCATGATTTATTATAGTCAGAAGTAAATTTATACAACACATTGTTTATAACATTGTTTATAATATGCTTGAAAATCTATTTAAACTTTTTCTTTAAATTATCTCATTTGAAAAAGATCCTATTCCGGAGATATAACAAAACGTTTTCTTTAATAACGTAAGTTTACCATTCCTCTCGCATCGATATTTCAAAACTTTTCAACAAGTATTTTAACAAGTATATCAATACCGTAAGAGAAGCTCATTGTTGTTGACGGATTTCATTCTGAAACGGAAACCTCCGAGCAATATCGATGGAATCTCATAAGTGACGTCGAACTCAGCGTCTCTTAATAATACTCGAGATTCATTTCACTCCCGATGGGGGCTGCGCTCGCCCACGTTTCCGCGATCCACCCTCCTAAGTAAAAGGCGTCATTCGTTCTCTCGTCATCGATTCGCCCGCGCCGCACGTTTCCGAAAAATAATTTTCGCCACGAGGTCGATCCCTTCTTCGTTTATTGGCAGCGCTCCTAATGGCGCCCAAGTCGCGCACGTCGAAGGGGTGCGAGAGTAAAAGTAAAGTTTCATCTCCAGTCGGCAAGTAGGCGGACCGTGTTTGACATACACCGAACAATCTCGCACAAATACCAACAGACAGACGAGAGCGGCTTTCTTTTTTTTTTTTTTTTTTTTTTTTGTTTTTTTGTGTTCCTCTCAACCCTCGTTGTCCCTTTTCGCGTAGACGTAGGAGCGCAGCGATGGAGTGCGCGAGTGAGAACGAACCCTCGAGTATCGGAAAAGCGCGAGGGGATACATGATAAGGGTTGCGCAGGCGTCGACGTATCGACCGGAGCAGTCCTCCGGGGCTCACACCCTCGCAGATCGCCGGCGAGCCTCACTGCTTCATCTGCAAACTAGTGGGTAGTACACGCACGCGACACAGGTAAGTGACCGCAGTTTGACAGCCGCATACTTTCTCCGTTAGTTCTTCGGTTCTTACGTCGGTTGTTTTTTCAATTTCACATTCACGTGACAGTGTTATTCTTCCTGTACTTGCTGTCATCGAGAAAGCGACGACGTTACTCAACAATTAGCAGTTTTCTCTGATCTCTGTGTGTTGTAAGTATCACCTTTGCCGGTTCGACCCCGTGGAGTACGCAAAGTCACTGGCTGGTGGCGCGCACCACCTTCACGTGACGATCGTCTCAGCGGGGTAGTTTCGCTGCTTCTCTCGAGGAAGTTTCATCGTCGCTCTCTCTTTCTTTCTGTCTCTATCGCCAGTGATCGCTTGATAAGTGTTCGATTAGTGAATATATTGGCGTAGTCGGAAGAACGTCGACTCGAGCTCGTAACGTTTGAATCGCCGCGATCGAGTGTTCAGCGACTACTTATCGAGCTCTTGAAGCTCGTATTAACGTCTTCGCAGACAAGATTTTCTTGAGGTAAAATACTGCCGCATATATCAGAGAGAACGCGAGTCTAGTATATAGCCTCAACGACTGATAAAATTACTAGCTGGTTCGAGAAGAAAGTATGTTACTTTAGCAAAATGTATTTTTGAATTTATGGTTATTGCGCAAAATCCTTTCTTGGTTGAGGATACAATCAATGTTATGTCATAAACGTACGGAAAAGTCAGGAAGTGAGAAATGGGACGACAATTCAAACGCGGAGTGACACGCTGAATTATAGGGAGAGAGAAGTGGAACGGAGAACCAAGGGTGCATTTTATAAAACGGTACTCTTATTGATTTTTTTTTTTTTATGTGCAGTTTATGTAATATTTTTATATAAATTAACGATCGCGCATCTTTTCTTCCGTCGTGGCGTTAATAAAAAAACCGCTGTTTCTTTGAAAGTTTTAGTCATGGCCGCCGAGATGGATTTTTACGATTAGCGTAAGCGCGCGTAGGAAAAGATATTCTTTTGTGCAACAATGGCGTTCTTTGTATGCGGTTAATATTCTTTTACGAGACAACGTTTTTCTTAAATTAAAAATTCACGTAAATTAATTCTTGCAACAAAACGCGTGTGAAAGGAACAGCTTTTAACGTTGTGCGTTTTATTGCAATCTGACAAAAAGATATTGCGATGGAGCAGAATTAATTTTAGGAATATATTGCAGTTTAGAAAAATGTAAAACCTTAATTAGACCGAGACTGAAGTTAATTGATATTGATGTATTCAGATAGCGGTCTTTTATGCAATTTATCTTCATCAATTTCTGCGAAACATCAGTTTTCTTATGTAACAAATAAACTTGATTGAACAATTTCAATAATGAAAATTCTGTTATTCTTTTATTTCTTTGCGCAAATTATTGATCCGTCTCTGCCAATGTTTCTCTGGAACTTTGATATTAACTTGCCGGCTGTGTACCAACCAACGTATTTTTAATGAATTAAAATTATGAAGCCGCACACACACACTTTCTCTTTCTCACACACTCACACTCACGTATGTACGTTATGGTCTTCCATGGTTACGTAATTTTTTGTAACATTTGTTATCACGTGTCTAAAATCTTTGGATAAAATATATGCATAACAAATGCATAAAAAGATAATACGTAACAAACACATACACAAACATTTCGTATCACAATCTAAAAGTGAGTCAGAGATTAAAACATAGGGCAGGGAAGCTATTTTTCACGCAAGATTTAATCTCCGTAATTACGTGAATTCTGATATCAGTAGTATAATGTTGTTCCTCATTGCAGTAATTATGAAACTACATATACCGTAAAATTTGCAATATCGACCATATAGGTGATATTTGTGTCGAATCTAATTTCATGTGAATAGAGAGAGATACTTAACATCAAAATAATTTACGCTCATTGCGCTCATTAGTTATCTACGTAAATGGTCTCATACTATAACATTATAATATTTTACTGCAAAATTTACAGTTAATTAATATAATCTTTCTAATTTGCTTTAAGCGCGCGCGTGAGTAAACCATCATTTGCCATACAATTTGTGATTAAAAGCTTGTGTATATTTCACATTAATTACTCGTCTGGTAAAATTTTTACGTCTGTTTAAAACAGGCGTATTGATTTTTACACACGCATTATCTTTTATTTAACAATGAATAAATATCAGAGTTGGAACTTTAATCTGAGTATTATGGATTGTATTAATATCTATACAATATTGCTAACGTACGATGACCTATATTTTATCTAATATTAAGTAATTAATAATTTTCCAGACTGATAAATTTATAAGGACTGAAATATGTATGTAAGATCTCAGATATCGCTTCTATAAAATTTGATTCAATGGCTTATTGAAAAAATTTCAATGAATCAATCCTCAATGGAAAAGTTAAATATTGTTATTTCATTATCTCAGACTAATATATTACTAATACTAATATATTTTTTTTTTTACATGCAATAGTTATAAACTTAACATTTACGTAGATTTACGTAACATTTATGTAGATACGATTTCTTTTTCTTTTTTGTGCATTTTAAAATAACAAATAAACTCACAGTCTCTTAAAGACCGATACTTAATTATTATATCGTGATTCTGCTTTGTCGAATTATATCGTAATTCTGCTTTGATCGAACTTTTGTGTCACGTAACTCATGATTTATTATATTACGCGCGAAGAGTAACCTTCTTAATGTACAACAGTTATTGTAAGGCATTCGACGCATGCGTCGATATTGTGCGTGTAAAATAGTTAAACTATGATATCCACGAGCGTGGCTCATCAACATGTAATAGCTTTGTAACATGTTCACCAGTTCGCGGTCTAATAGGCAGCTGCTATTCGCGGCGCGCGAAGATAATTCTACGTCATGTTCTATATCAAGCTACGAAATCTGTGAAATGTTATCACGTGAAAGTTGCTTTAAGTGGAGATTAATTTATTTCTCATTAGTTCACCAAGTTCTCTTCCCTACGTATTTGTCGCAAATTATACGTCTAAGCTATTTTGATCTCGTTGAAGCGGCGAAACTCGAAAGTAAAACTGCTAAAATCACTGTAATATCACGACGTAGCCTACGATTTGAAGAGCTGGCGTGAATTCTTATACGATAAAATAGACTTGCGGAACGTTTCAGACCCGGATGTTCATTAGCTTTTGCAGCCTCTGTAATCTAAATTCGGAATTTTTCCATCCCGAGGTCTTGATGCAAGTTCTCTCTCTCTCTCTTCTTTGTAAGTTCTTACACGTCTTTAAACTTCAAGTGAAAAAAAAGCACAACCAAAGTTATGCTTGAAGATACTTCAGACTCTTAATAAAAAAAAATTGTTAAATATTCATACATGAGATGAGATATAAAAATATCTTTTGAACGTTTACATGCAAAATAACAGCCGTTTCTTTTAAACTGTTTAAACTGTTTTAACATGGGTTGTGTGTAGCATCTATTGCCAGAACAGACCATCGTGCTGTCGTCGTTTGTTCAAATTGTTAAACGAATCGCAAAGTTTTCTTCCTCGGGCGATGTTCCAAAGTAGTTGAATGTTGGGAAGATTACCACACGCGAAAAAGTTCGTCCTTTCCGCGAAAAACACAGGCAGCGTTATTATCAGAGAAGCCTGCCAGAAAAAAAAAAAAAAAAAAAAAAACAAATACGAGATACGATTCGAACGTATCATTCTCTTTCCTTCGACGTTTCTCTTCCGGCTGTGTGCGCGTGGAATTACATCCCTCGAGTTCCTCAAGGAAAGAAGATGTATTCTACCTGGCGAGATATGACGGGGAAGTCATAGAAATAACATGTATGTCGCGTATATGTTCCACGAATACGTAAATACAGCAGAGAGCGCTTCTGCGCGCAAAATGCTGTGTAAAGCATTTTAAAAAACTTCGAGATAAAATCACGTTCCGGGTATCGATTTTACAAAGCGTTATGTTGCCGGTCGTTGGTTACACTGGTTACGTCATATGTGTTTTGTCGTTTGAAGCGTAATATGTGATTCAGTAAGTTTATTGCTCGCGGTAGAAATTGTATGAGAAAACGGTAAATTCATTAACTTTGAAAAAAGAAGTTCTTTTAAAAAAATATTTTTGTTTTTAATTATATATAGATGTTAGTTAACAAAATAAGAGTTGTCTCAGAGAAGTGCTTACTTTGAATTATATTAGATAAAAAGAATATATTTGTTGGAGTTTTATGGAACTTCTGTATATTATTATTACGGGCGCACAATACTATATAATAACAAATCAGTACAAAGTACGATATAAAGAAAGTATAACAGAAGCACAAACCAGGTTTATGATCTCAGCTTACAGTTTCCAATACGCTTAAAAATCCAATTACGGAGAGATGTCGCAATAAAAGTGTTCTTCCGTGCCACGAATGCGTCGTTTTGTTTAAGCCACTCGAATCGAAAGCAAAGCTCTTTGAATTAGAGTTATAAAGAATGCGGGTCAGAATATTCTTTGAGACAAGATTAAAAATTGGATATTTTTAAGTAAAAACACATTAAATAAAGATTAACAATTACTGCGTGTGTGCTTTTGTAAATAGAAAATTTTAGAAAATTAAAATTACACATAAATATGCAATAGATATTATTTGACAAGCGCAAAATGTTGAAAAAAAATTGATCTCATGGATATATTCCAATATTGAATTTAATAAATGTTTTGTAAATTATTTGCAGAAAAAAAGGAGAATTTTACAGATTTTATTCTTCAAAATACAACGTAGAATATTTAATTTCAATTTATTTTACGCACAATATTGTAATTACACACATCTACTCAATTTTTCAATACAATTGACGTCGTTGTAGTTTACAGTTTGCAATTGAAAAAATGAAAATTGCTCAAAGCTTTAATATCGCATTCTTTCTTATTTGTTTTCTTTACCTGTTGCAGATTTCAACTTGGATTGTTTATTTTCTCCTTCCTCACCTCCTCTTATTTCATCCTTTCCTTTCGGATTACCTTACGTTGAAGTTTATCCTGCGACGCGTCAAGCAGAGGAGCCGCTCCATCGATCTTATCCAACACGATCTATTGACCTACAACGAACAACATCATCTCACACAGTGCGACGTCGACATCGCGTCCTCAGCAGCGCACGACCGTCGCAACGTTTAGAAGATTGGAACGGAGGATCATCCTCCGGATTTCTAACGGCGTGAACGACAAAACTGCGAACGGTTTTATCGCAGCAGTGAGACCGGTGTAACCATCAAGATTACCGGCCGCGGCGGTTGCGCTAAGTACTGTGGTACTCCATCACCCGGCAACATTTCATTCTCCAGTTTTCGTCAATCCTTTACCTCCAATGTCAACTACCTGAAACGGAGGTGAGTCGCTGGTATTATATTCGCTATCACGTCGCTTCCGGATTGCAAGGCTGGCATTTACTTCGCGGATCTTCAGTGCGATGTAACTCGAATTTTTTAACATATGCGCAATATAAACAAATCTCATATTTCAAGATGTTCATACGAGCATTTTATGAAAACAAAATCGGATGCGTTGTGTTTTTATATTTGTCAAATGAAAATGTCCGAATTTAAAACAGTGGAACAATCTCTGCATGGAATAATGATCGCGTGACTGTATTGTGTAAGCTTTTATCAATTTTTCTGATCGACGCACGATATTTAAAACAGATGTTTTCACACATAAAGATGTGTGAGGGAAAAAAACACACCATTCAGATAATTTATTTCCTGATTTTTTTTCCTCCCGTCGCTAAATTTTACCATAAATAAGCGATAACACGTCGCGCGAGAATAGCTTGATTTTCTCACCGTGTTATCCGTGTTGTATCATAACACGCTTTTTATAAAAGTCAGAATTAATATGTTATCGGAAACGCGAGAAATTCAAGAATTCCTATAATTAAACTCTCGCGCGTGTGTTGAAAACATTTCGATTGAAACGCCCGCGGTATCTCACTCGAGAGAGAGCGAATACACAAATATGCCGTTGAAACACGCATCCGATGAAAGACCATGTATCACATCGACGAGGCATATCGACCGAATCCTTTTATAAGCGGCTTTTATATAGAGCCAATTTACGCACACACCATCGTCTGTGCGTGATAATGATCGGGCCGTTAAAACGTTGAACGCGATATATCTCAATATTCCATGGCTCTCCCATAATGCGACCGTGATGGAAAAATAGATTCCCGTGCCCAATTAACCGAACACAAGCGCTTACCTGAGTTGGTCATTACACAAACGCCGACACATCGTGTCAAAGTTATGGCGTTGGAAATTGGGACAGTCACTGAAACTCGAGACGAGGGTTCGCAGTCCGACGGGCGTGAAGCGATAACGTCAATTTGAGATAGGCGCGAGACATTTAAAGAAGAGAGAATTGAAAATAATATATTTTCCCCGGTTGCGCTAAAACTTTCTTACTATAAATACAAAAAAACTCTATTTACAGCAAACAACAATAAGTAGATAAACGTGACAATGATGTGTTTTACGTGTGCTATTTTGTAAATTTCGAAAGATTAAATCTCCCCTTCGAAACCGTTGTGGAGAAGCAGACAAACTCTTATTACAAAATAATAAATTTGTATATTCTCATACGTACATGTTTTCTTCGTGCTTCTCGCATTTTTATTTAATACGTAAACGAAGTTTATTTGATAAAAAAAGAGACTCTCGTCTATAAATACAAAAAACCGACAAAAAAATTTTATATCATCCTACAATATTTTAAAGTGCTGTTAATAATCTACCGAGATCAATAGAGAGCAGTTTTTATTTGAATATCGGAAAAAAAAATCGTGCAGCGAGATAATATTGGGAACCTCTGCTTTACCGAAACTAACGCGTCGTGCTAAAATGTGTCAACAATGTCCAAACACGCACAGGTATCTTGATGTCGTTATTAATAATTCTCAGTCTTTCGTGCTGCTCAACACACAAGTCTGGATGTGTGCATGTGGCTCGTTAAAAATACCGCTTCCAGCATTGGCCCCGAATGCAGCAGCCTGGACGCACGCCACGATATCAAGCCATCGCGCTAATGTTGCTTTACACATGGCAACGTTAGCATAACACAGCCTCCCACCCCGCTATCAGCGTGATATCGCGTCTTTCATCTCTTCTGCTTTTACTTATGACGAGTAACCACACGGACACTTGAGACGTGTGTGTGCGTGTATGTGTGTCAATGACGTAAATGCGCAACGACGTCGCTTCGTGTGGATACTTCGCATTGTTTGCGCCTCGGTGCTCGTTTTTACAACGCGAAATAAATCACTTGAATGGAAGAAAAAAAATATTGTCCCGGCTTGTGCAGATGAAAGAAACGAAAACGTTTACTTCGAGCTGGTGCGTCGTTAATCGTCTCGCAACTTCCCAACTTGAAATAGACATTAAACGTCCGTCACGCATGTAACGTCGGCCGATTAGCGGCCGTCCGAGTGTCATCGTCGACGTCATCTCCATGCTGTTCTCATTTCATCAACACCGAATGGCTGTGATCGATGTGCATTTAAACGCAAGTCAGACACGACAGCGTCAATGCGCGGCCTGCCGACCGATTGTCACTGTCACGACGACCACGTTAGCTTGTCTTCCAGGTTCTCGTCAGGGGACCTCAGCTCGGAGCTCGACGATGAGCCGAACGCGGATCCTGGGATGGCCACCGTGGGCCGACAGGATTCGTCTCAGCCGTATCAAGCGGTGCCGGACCGACCCTTGCAGTCTCAACCGGGACCGATGCAACCGCCAGCTCAGCCCCCGATCCCGGGCAACCCACCTCAGGGACCGCCGCAGCCTATCGGCGGAGACCTCAGTCTCAATCTGAGACCCGGCTCACGGACCACCAGCGCACCATCTTCGCCGGCGAAAACACGAGAGAGTTTGCTCCAGCGGGTACAGAGCTTGACGGGCGCTGCTCGCGACCAGGCAAGTTGTGCAATACGTGTACAACGCTGTTTACTTTCTTTATTTGCACTTGGTTACCTTTTTCTCTTCAACTGATTGAACAGAAATTCAATTACTGCGAAACGAATATTAAGAGCTTCGGTAAACTGCAGCTTGATAAAACCGTTGCGACATTTGATGATTTGATTACACTTCAAATTTGAACATTTAATTCTCAAAACGATCTCCGACATTGCGCACATGTAGTTTTTGAAAAAAAAAAAAAAATCAACTTTGCCACATTGAGATCAATATATTCTCTAGCGAATTAGTAATGTCGGACGACAAGGGGAAAATGTGGTATCTGACAGTTGAAAATGACATGTAGGGCGCTTCTATTCTGGGAGCGGCGGTATCTGGCGCGACCAGAGGTCCGTCATACAGTAAAGACCGATGCTTCACTCTGCTGGTGATCGACGATCAGAACACCGACTGGAGCAAATACTTTCGGGGACGTAGGTTGCACGGCGATTATGAGATCCGCGTGGAGCAGGCGGAATTTCGTGAACTGTCCCTCACGGCGAGTGAGACGGGAACCGTTGTGTCCATGGCTGTCTATCGTAACGGGACCAAAGTCATTCGGTGAGACATTTATCTTCGTATTAATCGTAAAGAGAGAAGACGAAAAAAAAAAAAAAAAAACAGATAACTGCTACATTTCGTTACCGCAAATTAGGGGTGAACTTGATTGTATTCTGTTTCGAAGATGAGTATCGATTTAAGCAAAATACATCGAAGAAACTAAAACTCGTACACCGCGCGCTTTTAAATAAAATAACCAATAAGACCTGAGATTAAAAACACTACGCATTTGATTGAAATATTAGATTAGAACGTCGCGGAAGCGATACGTAAAAAAATTTGCAGCGTCTGTTGTTGCTTGTTACTAGATCCTTCAAGCCTGATTTTGTATTGATACGTCAAAATCTTCGGGACGCCGGAGAAGATTACAAGAACCTTCTTCTCGGTCTGATGTACGGTGGTGTGCCCAGTGTTAACAATCTCACAGCAATTTATAACTTTCAGGTAATATATTTTGATACATATATATATATATATATATACTTTGTCACTTATAAATAAATCAAATTTTTTACCAAACAAAATATCGTAAAAATGTTGCATCTCGGATGTACATCTTATGATTGAAATGCTTGAATTCAATCTCTATATTTGACTCGCAAAGATCTTATATTTGAACAGAATCAGACGGAGATTTAAATGTAATGAAACGATATCTTTCCAATTCATTTCGATACACATGTACTTATCATGTACACATGGTTGTACATGATTGAATTGTTCGATATGTAACCCAAACGTTACGTGTTTCGTAAAATAGGATAAACCTTGGGTATTTGCGCACCTGCTGGGCCTACAACGTCGTTTGGGCAAAGACAACTTCCCTCTGATCGAACAGACTTATTATCCTTATCATCGCGAAATGGTGAGTAAAAATCGATCGGCAAATACGTGTCTGTATTTATATTTTATTTCAACATTTATTTTCTTCATACGTTTTTAAAAACAAGCATCGCCACTTTACCGACCCGGCAAGCAACACGCACGCGTCTGTAAAATATATCGTTCCAACGTGTACATGCATTATACACGAAGCACACATGTTCGTGAAAAATATCTGTTTTCGTTCCGCACGTATATAACGCACTTTAAAAATTACCACATTCAAAAAAAAAATAAAATAAAATAAACTTAAACTACAACGTAGAAACAAAGTTTGCTTCAAACGAAAATGCAAAGTAAAATTGCTCGATGTAATAATATTACTATCCTCCGTTACTTTTGTACTAAATTTCGAGTTTCTTAGGCTACTTTGATTTATCAAAAAAAAAAAAAAAAAAAAAAAAAAACAAACTTGCTGTTGCATATGAAAATAATTAAAGTAAAATCGAATAACGTTTGTGCTCACGCATAATGAAGCGTCAAAAGAGCTTGTGTATATCTTTATTTATGAAGCTACGGATTTAAATATTCATTCTAATTTCTCGTCTCACGGTAAATAGCGCGCTGATTATGAATAATCATTTGAATATATAACGAATATATATATATAACGAATATATATATATATAACGAATATATATATATATATACGCAGCTATCTTATATCTAAAAAGACGATATACATAAAATGTTTACGAAACGTAATATAAACTGCGAGTAAAGTTGTAACGATGTCCTAAACCTACGTACAACGAAACGATAGCTGGAATAATTTAAGGACACACAATGTACATTAACAATATAATATATACAACACATGTTAAGAGTATATATAGCCGTGAAAAGTAGGTCGCTCGCATATATGTTTCAACATATCGGGTATCTACGTGTTTCGAAAATTTCTAACACTACAAAGCTTATTATACCTCGTTAACGATAATCAAATAATCAACAGGTTAATGGTGGGAGTATTAGGTTTACCAATATTGACCGACACTTTTCTTGTCCTATATTTTATAATTGTGTGTGTGTGTGTGTGTGTGTTGATGTTAAGCCAGTAAAAAAAAACCTGCTGGATAAAATTAACCAACGTTGTCGCTATCAAGAGCCTAAGTTACAAATAATTTAACATATAATAAAAGATTTCACATCTTAACTATATAATATATATAATTACAACTATTACTGTTTCCGATTTTTCACAATCATCGTTTCTCTGTTATACTTTATCAAACTTTAAAAAACGCAAAACATATTGTGAGGGTCAAGTCGTCATTGATCGCCAACTGCGCATAACTGCGTCCCTTAAAAGTAAAGCGTTGCGAATTAAGTCAGAACTAAACAATCGTTTTATTGTTTTGACAATTTAATACCTGGCGTGTTTTTTTGGTACATGTAACAAGGTGCGTAAATATTTTTAACAATCGACAAATAGATAGCGAATAATTTCGTTGCGGAGAGTTGTCAGTAAATTGTTACACACTCGAACACGTTTCGCGTGTAATGCGTGACTTAATATCGCAAAAAGAACATGTCGTTCCATCAAATTATTATCGTACCACTTTGCCTCTTAGTGACTCAGTTATCGTCGATGTATTCGATCGATTGGCAGACACGCTACATTGTGCGACTTGATAGATTGTTTTGTTGCTTTCTATAAAAGTTGCGAGAACGTGAACGCGCAAAACCCGATACGAAAAAATGTCAATTACGGTTCCCGCAACCTCTGCTGATCGCGTTTACGCTGATATTCCTTGATGCAATTTTTATATGGAACCGATGGTGCCCAGGAGCAGCCGCCCGTGTTATCCGCCATGCACACGCCGTATTTTTCTTGGCAAACCTGGGGACCTGGTATGCTCTCCCACAGGCAACGCTTTCCGCCACTGGATTCCAGCACAGCTCCCTTGCGCCTCCAATGTGTATAAAGAATCTACGGTACAAAAACCAGGCCATTTTTTGCATCCTTTTTCTCTCTTTCTCTCTTCCTCGCGCGATTTCATATTCTCATCTCGCGCGTAAACTCCGAGGCCTCGCAGAAATCGCCGACGATTGAATAAATGCGCAAACATACACGCGTGTGCAATTCTTTGCTCGCACTTGTGTATTTATAGGACTCTGAATATTTTAGAAACACGCGCTTGATTGTACAAAATCAGTCGGAATTTACGTGACGTCGTGGGTGATTTATCGCGTTAATCTGAGTTGCATCGAGCTCGCGAGAAGCGATTGAAAAAATAATTAATTTTACATACGATTCACGAATCTCTCTCAAATTTGCAATTGGTTAGTATTTCGAAACGTGATTAACTTGTTTTTTTTTTCAAGTGTTTCTATAGAAAAAAATATTTCGTAACATACACATCGTTTAAACAAAAAAAATAATATTTCGAGAAATTGCAATAGATATAATTTTTACATAATTTCGAGGTTTTGTCTCTTTCCTTGTGATATGACGAACATGTAATAGTTAAAAATCTTTTTGCATCAATATTTTTCAATGCGATATTCTTACGATCTTAAGAAATTAATGAAAAAGTAACACAAATTTAATTTTGTGTGACTTATCTTCAACAATGAAAATTCAACACTCACGTTACACCCGCAACCTTGTTGATAAAGCTGTCTCAGTCCTTTACGTTGCCTGCTGGTCGTTTCGGCCCATCTTATCGAGAGTCCGCAAATTGATATGAACGGCTTTCCCGAGAAGATTCTTCCGTCGACGACGTAAGTCTCGCCGACGTTCAGTGTCACGCCGCACAGCGCGTCCGAGGACGGGGTCCATAAAAGGTTCTGCATCAGAGCCACGTCGGCCTTTGGGTTGGACTGTGAAGTAAAGAAGAGGCGTATGGTTAAAACCTAGATTACATTTAGCGATGAGAGCGCGATGCGACGACAAACGCGCCTCTTCTTCGCGCCGCGCGTCACGTCTCTCTCGCGGCGTATAATACGCACCTTGAAGACCCTGTTTATCTTGACCTTGTAAGCGATCTCATAGTCGCCCACAGAGTGCTTGGTGGTAATGTTCTTCACCCTCACCACGACGACTGCGACAAAAAGAACGTCGTTAATCGCGACCGATGACTTTTAAGAAAACCGGAAAGCGAATGTCGCTGTTTATTTAGCGCGCATCAACGATCAATATAATTCACGTAAAAACTATGAAAAAAAAATTAGCTATTGATGTCTAAAAGCTTTCTGTCGTGGCGATTGAGATTATACCGCGCTGAATATTCATGCACGATATTCTTTCATAAAAACGTTATTGCATCAATATGACGCTGCATATTTGTTCAATAATTAACGTACAAAATTTGCAAGTCAAGAATTAACAAAAATATATCTCACAGTCACACGAGTACATAGTTACGATATGGAGAAAAAAGAAATGTATAATATAAATTTATAAACAATTTTCATACCAAAATCCGAGTGACAAAATTTGCTTTGTGGATGCATTGGCATACAGCTGCACGCTGCAACCCTCTGAACCGGTGCTAACAGTACCGTCAGCAGCAGGAAGTGCATCAATAGAAGTAATTGTGACATCTGATAAAAAGAATAATTAAAACTGATTTAGTTTCATGTCGCGCATTAACGAGCAAAACGTTTGTGGTTCTTACTTTGTCATTTACATTGCTCGTACGTATCGATTGTTTGAAATGTTTCGTTGCGCATACTTCTGCAAAGCGCATCTTAAATAGTATCAAATAGCGGTATCAAAGTGACACAAAGTAACATAATATAAATTTAATGTGAAATGCACAGAACGCGTGCAACACGACGCAATAAACTGCCATGTGTATGGAAAATCCGTTTATCCGCGAAATCCGGTTACAGGTATTCAAGTTATTCAAGCAACTTGTCACCTGTCGTATATGCAGCGAAAAATAGGTAATGCTTGATAGTCGTATTGTGACATTTACTTCAAAAAGTACTTTAAGATAAATCGGAAAAGTATTTTATATATTTATGTAAAAAAGAAATGAGACGAGTAGAAGGAATATAATATTTCCTTGATTAATTTATATCGTGTAAATAAGTGACACCACAGTTTACTTAATTGAAAATATTTTTTAATCTTTTCGCTTTTCATCTCCTATTTGAAAAAAAACCTGATTAATTTTATTTATAGAAAGAATTTTCTTTTGTAAAGAGAATTAGCTTGTTATTATTTCTTTGTTATTATTTCGATGATTATAACTCTGAAAATGAGTTTCTTGCTCTTGTATGCGCTAACTGTCAATCGCGCATGATGTCAATCGCGCATGATGTCAATCGCGCATAATTTCAATTGCGCATAGTATTTGAAGGTCAATCAATCGATGATGAGATGCTGCGCTTGATTATTAAATATTCTTGTACACAACATGATTACGTGCAAGTTTTTGTTTAATTTGTAAACGACAATAATGATAAACAAACAATTGTGGATGTGACGTTTTCATTAATTCATTTGTTGCGAGTATAATCACAAATTGCAATAATCAAATTAAAGATACAGATTGACAAATAACAACGTGCATGTTTTCATTACAAACTTGGACCAGAAATATTAAATGTCGCGCAAATATTATGATGAAGCATCGATTGGATCCTTGAATATTATCTTAATAGCCCTTGACTGGAATCCGATACTCCATATTTACGAAACGTAAGAGAAAAAAAAAGATGAAGTGGATCTTTCTTTCTCTCGGCAAATTGATGAAGAACTCATTCAAGAAAGCGCGCTAATCCGACCTAGTTTATCGTCGTCAGCTGAACGTGATCTAAACATAGCCGCAAAACGGCATCCAAAGTCGAACACGATCTAGAAACACTCTCTTTGCGCCAAATATAACAAATAATGACTTATATTAAAATGAGCTCTTTGAAATGAAAATAAACATACATGTGCAACGGCTCGACTGTACATTGCAATATTTAATATATGTCTATATTGCTTATCGCAAACATCAGGAATTCCTGAATGTATTAATTAAATTTTATTACTTAATTAACGCACACTGACTCTTCTTCCTGTTTCATAAATTAACGAACGTCGAGAAACACTTGCGATATGTTTAAAATAAAAAATAAAAACATAAAACAAATATAAACGTTTTGATATAATAAATACAAGTCAAGTTACATCAGTAAACAAAAAAATGTATAAATGTTCCATTTTAATTTTTGTCTCTCTCTCTCTCTCTCTCTCTCTCTCTCTCTCTCTCTCTCTCTCTTTCTCTCTCGTTGCGCACCGTGCTCGAGGAAGCGAATTTCCGATGAAATAACCGCCCACAACGACGGAAATACTTGTCATAGTGACAAGCTCGAAATATACGGTAAAACTTTAAACTGAACGCGGAACGCAAAATGGTGATCGTACTTTTCGATGAATATATAATAATATTCCGCTGCGCTCTCTCGTCGTAAACGTCGAAATGCACGAATCTGTCGGATACCGCTTTATCACTCAGAGTCCCGCAAGTTTACGGCGTCAATGGCGTCTCGATTTTTTTCGCGACGATCCAATTTGCATGAAACCTTTGTGCTCCTCTCATCTCTCCCCGAGCAAATCTCCGCGAGATCCGCGGTGATGATATATCGTAAAGAGACAGGGAGACGCAGTTATTGTTACGGTAGACGTATACCGGGAAATATACCGGTGTACGTTGTTGCGAGACCATAACGATATATCATGTTGGAAGCGATCAGTATCGTCTTTACAGTTTTGTTCGCCTATGGCGAACCTTCAAGAGACTCAAAGAGGTTACTATACTTACGGATAATACGCGCTACGCTATATATTAAGATTATCTATAAAAATGAAATTTTCTTTTGATTTGCGATCCGTGGAAAATGCATGACTTTTGATACGCTCCGTGCACACGTGAGCGACGCGCAACGTCGTAGGTGTATACACAACCCGGTAATCATCATATTTTCACGTGCGTTTATGCGAATTTATTTTCTCGATTCTCTTGCTCGATTATACTACCGGAAAAATATCGAACATTTGCCCGCAGGAAAATTGATCGATTGCGATTAAATATCGCGGGAGCAAAACGACAAGGCAAATTGATCGCGTTTAAGTCTCTCCGCCAACTTTGCGCAAACAAAAAAAACAAAAAAAAATCAAGCGAAGAAAATAAAAGCAATAAGAGTAATTGAATAAGAGTGGGAATTACTCGTGCTTTTTTTATGATAAATTGCAAAAGCAAGGCAATGCGAATGCGGCTTGAGAAAGTTTCGATCGATCGAGCTCGTCTGAGCTCGCAAATATCATCGTTATTTCGAGCACACTGATCGCCCGAGGGAAAATAAAACGTGACCTTTCCACCGCAATATTTGCATAGGATCATTCGATAGTCGTCTCTCATTCTGATCAACTGATTGTTTGGGACGAGCCTGGGACAATATCTTGTTTTGAAAGATGCACGTTCATCTTTTCCGATGCGGGTTCTGGGAAAAAGAATTTATGCGCGAGAATAACAACAATAGACAGGACTTATCGCTAATTTTCTAATCTCTTTTCTATCGACGCGATCGACACGAAGTCGTATGTGGTGATTGAAACAATTTTTTTTTCTTGAAATTCCATCGTGTTCCAACAAATAAAGAAATAAATTGCCTCCTCTTGTACGAGAATATAATGCAGCTTCATAAACTGACAGAGAGTGACAGTCATGTAGATATTTATATTCATCCACGAGACGAAGCTGTTTTCCCAAATGAGACGCTCGACGAAACGAGACGCGGATAATCGAAAAGGTACCGTTGAACCATACGGATAATCGTGGTTTGCTGACGCAAGGATTTATATGGGCAACACTCGCCGTTGCCGTCCACACCCAGACGAGTGTCCTCGCGCGCGAACATTCGCCAAATGCGCTTCATGCATCATCATGCAAAACGGATTGATTGAGGGGCTGATGTCACACGCAGCGCCGATGCCGCCGTATACATACATTCGCATTATTACTTTTATTTCCATTTAATAAATACCACAGACATATGTCTGGCCGGGTGGTTCCACGGTGCTAGTGACGCATCGCGATGACGATGACACGGTGCCGCGTGATTCGTCACGCGCTTCACGATTCACTTCGTGACCCCCATGAGCAAAGCCGCAACGATGGTGAACATCGTAATCGCACGCGTGATTACACGCGCCATGCGCTGGCGTTTAACTTGCGAGCAAAGTCGTTCGCGAAATCCCGTGGCGAATGAATGTCGAGCGCGGGCTGCGTTTTCTACCAGCGCGCGCGCGCGCGCGTGTGTGTCTTCTCGCAGATACAGAACTGAAGAAACAAATGTTGATTTACGAATCAAAAATTTCAAACGTCTTTACCACAAATTGTTGTTTATTTAATTAATTTTTCTTTGATCGAGTATATAAAGCAACTCGATTTAAAGGACAAATATTTAAAGGAAATAAAAAAACAATTTTTTAAAAAACGGTGTTCTAAAAAAAAACGGTTTAAAGTTTTAATCGAGAGAATAATGCGTGTTCAATAATTTTTTTTTTTTTTTTTTACTCGCACAGAATTCGTAATGACTTTTTGAAGTGCAAGTTGTGTATCACACTTTCTTCTCTCTCGCTAATCGATTAAATCGACCTTCGCAATATCACGAACAGGTTGATTTCGCCGTAAGTGAGGCGATAATTATTACTTTACGAATATGCGGCGAGTAAAAGTATATATAATGTTGCGATCCGGCAGATTGTATAATGTAATTTGAAATGTAATTTACGATCCATAATGCCTGTGTGCCCGTCGCGCAAGGATTTGTAATCTTCAGATTATAAACAAGCGAGCCGCACCAATTAACCTTAAACTCCGAATGAGATTGTATAGGTGGGGAGAGATGCGTTGCACGTGCGTATGTCGAGCCGCATACACACGTGCGTGTTACATACACACACCTCATATTTATGATAATTTAAGTATGAGAAGCTCTACACGGTCGTCGAGCGAAGAATTATACATTAGCACAAAATTTTATGTGAGGTGTTAATGTTTTAATACTAAACTTTCAGGAGAGTTTCTAGTTCGAAAGCAAACAAAAAAATATTTTACGACGAGCGAATGTAGTCTGCGAGAATTCGCGATCTATTCTTCTTTCTCGTTTATTATTACGTTGCGCGGTCTAACCACACCAGAGAAAATATTAATCTTCGTTAGTGACGTTGCGCTAATTACTTGATGACTGGGGAAATACTAAAAAAACTCGTGCTCGTTTGGTGAAATATTTGCTCCGCGGAAGCAATCCCGTGTGACAGTTTCTCAAAACCTGAACTTTGAACCATTAAAAAATAATCAACTGTCTCGCTCAAAAAACTTGCCGATTTGGCTAAACTTGAAACCCGACATCTCATTATTGCGTCATTAGCGTATCGGATTTGCAGCAGGTATGTCTAGACTCAGCGTGCTGCAACGTGAAGAACGTTGCACCTTGGACTTTCTCTCGACAAAATATCGCATCGCAATGCGTGCGCAATCGCGACGTAAGCGATATAAAGTATGAATGAACAATTTTGCGGGAATAGCAAATTGTTTCTTCAC